AATGGGACAAAGTTTGTCAATCAGGAGGTGTTGAGTAGGCTTAAGGCCTTGTGCGTACCTATCAAGATCACGGAACCTTACCATCCTGAGGCAAATGCGCCGGTAGAAAAGGGTCACCGGACCTTGAAAAACACAATCGCAAAGTTAGCAGCAGATGACTTGGGAAATTGACCGCAGTACCTTAGGCAGGCAGTCTTCTCTGAGAACGTGACACCAAAAAGAACGACGGGGTGCATTCCGACGGAACTCTGGTATGGAAGGGAGATTGATTTCCCGGTGGAAGCCCTGGTCCCTACCTGGAACAAGCTAGATGATGATCCGCACTTGACAACGGAGGAGTTAATTGTCGCACGTTGCCAACAGGTCGTCAGGAATGAGGAGGCGCTGGAAGAAGTGGTTAACCGTGTGATGGATAGTCGGATGAGGGACAAGGCAAGGTGGGACCAGTTGAAGAACATCCGGAAGGACCCACTCCAAGTAGGGGAAAAGGTGCTAGTTAGGAACTCCGCTCTTGAAAGCACGTGGTCTGGGCAGCTGGGAAAGAGGTTCAAAGGGACCTACAGGATCGCTAAGCGGGTGGGACTGAACACGTTCGAACTTGAGGATCTTGATGGCACTAGCATAAGAGGGCCGCTTCCGGGACAAAGGTTGGCCAGATTTCTAAGCAGGGATCCTGTGGAACAATGGCTACAAGAGGCTCAGGATGGGGAAGCAGGGGAATTGACAGCTTGAAAGGCAAGCAGCTGGCTACAGGTCTTGACCGTCTCCCTGTGGAAGTAATCATGACCATAGGGGTTGTTCGTTTGTGTGTCTTACTTATTGTGGAACATGGGGTGACTGCCTGGACTAAGTATGAACGAGGCTGGGGGTTGGGGACAATGTACCATAGCTTGGGCGACAATTTTGGGGACTATGAGGGGAACAAGGTGCCTAAGGGATGATGGGACCGCCAATCACATGAGGGCAAACAAGGGTTTCTGGGAAGGCTTGCAAATCTGCAAATGGGGATGGGAGGGATGTGTGCGTATGATGGGATGCGGTGACTGTTATGGATGAACAAGACAGGCAAGAAGAAGACAACAAGAGAAGACAAAAATGAAGTTTGGGAACGAGAATGACAGCAACGCGATCAACCAGCCTAATGAGCAGCAGCTAACGAGACAGGCGGGGGAATCGAGCTCCAGGAAAAGAAAGTTGTACGTGGGATTTGATCACAATCTGGCTGTTAACAGGGGAGGTAGAAAGCAAGGAACCAGGGGACCGTCGCCCCTGAGGGAAGGGGAGCCAATAGTCCTTCCCTCTGAAAGCGACACCAGCAGTGAAGAAGGGGGGAACCCGGGGAAAAGACAGAGGTTGGGGGAGGAAGAACCCATTGAGGTCATAGATCTCAGCAGTGAGGACGAAGAAGACAAAGTAACAACACCCACGAGAAAAGAACGGGGAAGAGAGGAGGACCCAGGGGAAGAAAAGGACAAATGGATAAGGGAATTTGGACCGACTTTCAGCGATTGGTTTGATCAGTGGGCCAGTATCTTGCGATACCAATGGGCAATGAAAGGGAAAGAAAAAGCTGAGCAGGGGAGAGGACATATCCCCAACAACCTTCTTCTCAGAGGGGACGCTCCTTCAATTGCAGGGAATAAAGAGACAAATGCAGCAAGAGATTGAGGATCGTGCAAGGGAGGCTCGGCGTAGGGCGGCTGGACAGTAAGGGGATAGTAGGTATAATGGGGGTTAGCTAGAGGGTTGGTACCTGGCCAGGAGGAACTGCCATCTTAAATTTTGCATTTGAACCTTTTTTTTTGAATGAACTGCGACGGGACAACTTTCTAAACTTGAAATGGCGAAGAACTGGGTAATGAGTACTACTTTGCACAAGTAGTTGCTTCTTCAGGAAAAAGCACGAGGGTCATTGCACTTAGAGAATATGACTGTGAATGGTTGGGGTTGTCAAGGGGAAAATAGAGAGATCTAGATGAGGCAAGTCTGTAATGTTGCCTTTGTATTCGGATTTTGTCTCCTCGTTTTTTTTGGAAGGACTGCGACGTAACGCCTTTTTGAATTTGGGATGCTACTAGGGGATGAGTGACCAGTGCTACTTTGTACAAGTACTCGCTCCTTTTGGAATTCTTAGCTTTTTGGTAGTAAGAAAGGGACTGGGGATCATTGACTCTATCTTGAGAGATAGATAAGGGTGTGTAAACTGTTGAAGATTGCAAGAAAAGGCAACGACAGAGAACTCTTTTTTTTAAAAAGTAAGTATCCTTGGTTGAATGAGTCATCGCATGAGTCCTTGTGAGAGGTTAGGGGACCTATGGGTAAAGAGGCGTGAAGAACACTCTTTCCTAGGAGCCTAATCTAACAAGTTCCACATCAATCCAGAACAGCAAGACACAGGAGAACCAGAGAAAGAGAAAACAGTGAGGACACACACCCTTTGCAATGGCCGAACGGCCGGGCGGGCCAGTGCTGCTTGAGGTTGCGACCCTCAAATCGAGTA